ACGCTGCTTTGGCAGTGGCGGAGGCTCGCTTGCCGACGTAACCGTCGGAGACCATCATGAACAATGGACTGACTAATTATTCACTTGTCCTCTCTTTCTAAATAACATGTTATTGCACATGTTCTTGGTTTAGTTTTTGTGCCTTTTTCGTGCTTTGGAGTTATTATTTTGTTGTTTTTGGACTCTTGATATAAAGGCTACACCACGCATTGACGATACCAGCTTGGGCACGAATGTTACAGTAGTCACGGAGAGAGCTAAGGGAAGCCCACGTGATAATACCCCGACGGAGATGAGCGCGTCAACGTCTCCAGACAGATCCTACTTGTTGATTGGGATGACATTGCCAAAGCTGAACCCCTGCCGCTAAACCATGGCAGGGCACTATCAGTACAAAGGAAGCCGATTCGAAAGACTCACTCTGTCTCTCTGTCTCTCTGTCTGTCTGTCTGTCTGTCTGTCTGTCTGTCTGTCTGTCTGTCTGTCTGTCTGTCTGTCTGTCTGTCTGTCTGTCTGTCTGTCTGTCTGTCTGTCTGTCTGTCTGTCTGTCTGTCTGTCTGTCTGTCTGTCTGTCTGTCTGTCTCTCTCTCTCTCTCTCTCTCTCTCTCTCTCTCTCTCTCTCTCTCTCTCTCTCTCTCTCTCTCTCTCGCTTGGCCATGGCCACGTCGGGACATCACCAACCCCGTCTACAGAGAGCACCTTCTCGCGACAGTGTCATGGTGATGACAAAATACTATTAAGGGGGCACATCACCCAAAAATTCGCTGAAAAATCGAATTTGTAAATTCATATTGAGTGCTACGTCAGTTGAAAGAGCATGAATAGCTGCAAATTCTCTGAAAACTGTGTCCCTATCTGACCAGCCGTTCAAGAGTTATGGCCGAAAATGTGCCCTTGCAAGGAAAGATTTTTTTGTTGCATGCTGTCATTTGTTGGCAGCACTGTATTTGAATGTGAGTAGACCGTGCGCAACTTGTCGTATTATGGAAACCTGCGAAAGTGTGCAGAATTTTGCCCCAAGTCCAAAAAAGTCCAAAAAATCACGTTAAAAAATCACGTATTGGGCTGCACGGCGGCGGGCGAAGCCCGCCGCCGTGCAACAGGACTTTGGCCAGCACCCTCGTGACGTTGCAGATATGTGGCTTGATTATTGTAGTTGACGTTGATTTAGTGACTTTGGCAAGTTTGAGTCGTGTCAAGAAGTCAGGTAGGATTCAGTACTAGGCAGTAGTGAAACGTGAGTGGCAGTCTTTGCCGGTTTCTGAGGGCATCCTGGATTTGGTGTGCAGCGCTGTGGAAATGGCTTGCTGTGGAGGTCCCAGCACTGGATGTTGTATGAAAGGTACGACCTCGTAGCACGTGCTAAACCTGAAAAAAATCAAAAATTGACTTGGGCCTGTGGGAGTCCGCGAGAGAACGCCCACTCGTTCCGTTGTGACAGATTCCAGGGCGACGTAGAGGGGCCCTACCCCACCACCCATGGCTGCTTCTGGACTTGTTTTAGGTTTGGGTCCCGCGCACGGACAGAATGGGCACGAAAATGTGAAAAAAATGTAAATGCATTTGT